GGGTGCGAGAGGTCCCGGGATCGATCCCCGGCTCAGCCCCACTTTTTGTCTAATCGTAAAACGATACGAAACCAAGCATTTGAAGACACGTAGCGATGTTTCTAATAGTTTTGTCAGTTTCATTGGAAGAAATATTTTAAATGATCATTTCATGCTATGTCAAACAATATATCGATATTGCTTCTTCGAATGCAAGTGAAACGACGACGAGTCGTTGTGTCACAAACAAACACAGTCATCAAGTTTCGCATGACAAACATAAACCTTCCATAACGTTTACAGAACAGGTAAAAATGAATGAAAACAATAGAAAGTAACAGCCGTTCGACTGTTGTGTTACTGAACCGTGTTTTTAAGTGCTATCGTCAGTGGCACATATAAATTTTATTCAAAATGATAACAACATAAAAACAAAGCAACAAGATTCAGAAACAGAAACAAAAAAACAATAGTTATCACGCTCAATGATGGAATTTGAAGTATTAAACAAATCCTCATATTTCAATTTTCTTGATTATTACAAAACGCTAATATGATAACGGTACATTTTGTTCACGTCAGTAAATGATATAAAACTTAACGTTATGAAACGTCACGGATGGAATCATTCTCTCATCACCAATCGGTCCTATGGTCCAGAAAAAATGGCGACTTTAGTATTCTCTAACGAATCCAGTCAATGAAATTATGAATGAGAATATCACTCATGATATGAGTCTTGAGCCTCAACCATAACTTCTCGGCTAGACTTCATATGACATTAACTAAGATAATCTAACTAATTTGCCGTCTACAGTCACGCCAGCTGATTCCAATTTCGTATCGAAGAGTTCCTGTAAGTGCGTTACGTCTTCTTTAACGTCTCCATTTTCCACATACTTTCCGATTACCAATTTTCGTAATTTCTTTAGTTTCATTTCACCGCCCTCCTCCTTCAATGTCCTCTTTATCGCTTTTTTCCACTTGAAACTCTCTTTCGATCCGTTCACACTTTTCTGCAGAAAAAAAAACTTGGTTAAATCAACGATTGATTGTTAGTGAATCAATGAATCGAATAATTCATTTCACTGGATAATATGTGCATATATTATGACGCCGAATAATATGCATTATGCATTCCGGATATGACATTCCGAACATTTCACCGAATACGCATTCCCTATTGGATCATAATAAACAGTTAACTTCCTACGATGATTTGTGAGCCGTGATAAAAGTGTGATGAGAATCTGAAGGAATTGAACTGATAGAGCAACGAGCGTAACATACCTGGTCATTCGTAACCGATTCACTTCGCTTCTTGGAATGCCCATTTTTAAGTGAAAGTTCACACGAATTTGAGTCATTAATATTTTCAATGTTATCAACATTATTGTTAGTATCATTATTGCTAGCTGTTGGTTCATCATTATCACCTTCGCCCTTCTTTGAATTATTCTCCTTTTGTTTCTGCTTTTCATCTTCTTCGCGCATTCTTTTCGCTTCATCAGCGATACATTTCCATGCCTTCAAAACTCATTTGATGCAAACTGTCCAGAAAAAAACTGTTTCATAGTGGGAGAAATTATTTATGTTTTCCAGTTATCCATTTCAAATGTGGAATGTCTTAGAATGAACGAATCCATACACCCAATATTTTAAAAAGCTTCAAAAGGCTAAAAATATTCACTTCAAACCAACCTTACTGCAAAGATTTCTATCCCTAATACGGATTGAGTTGAGGAGAAAATTGATAAATTTTGCCTCTTTCCGAGGTATATTCCCATATCCACGAATCTGTTCGAGTACATTCTTGACGGCTGGTTCTTGAACTTTCTGAATTGCACGCTCCACCTGCTCAACCCACTGATTTTGTTTCACTTCACCCTACGAATAAAACGAAACGTCAACCCAATCAATTGAAAAATCTGACAATCGGTCCGCATGTTCAAAAAGAATGCTTCCTAAAAAAGGAGGAATCGAGCTAACTTTATTCTCTTTTTGCACATAATTCTTGCCACCATATTTCTGGTCCTCTGATATGCATTTGATATGATCTTTATATGTGACTGACGTGAATACCGCATTGCAGTCAATGCAAGAGTACGTTGATTGCCTGAAGAATAATTACGTGTCCGTGAATTGAATTCTAACGCTGCCATATAAAACGAGGTCTGCAATCAAAAGAGCAGAATTTTCATGAAAATCGAACCTGCACTTGAAGTTGTGTTTCTCTACCTGATTCTTTTTCAACGCCTCGCCACATGTATCACATGTGAAAAATACCATCGTTGATCAATGGAAACGATTCTGTTTCTGAAGAAAAGTGATTCCTAAAAGAGAATCTCAAAATTAGCACGGCATCCGATGCAATCCGCCCTGATCCAATTTAAAATCAAAACAAAGTTAGAAATTCGACCACAACAAAATTCATTGACATCGGAGCATATTGCCACAAGAAAAGCACAGAAAGCGGGCGAGCGGTCGAAATAAGTGAAGAACCGCTCGTTTGGTGAAATAACAATTGCTTATAACATTTATTTATACCGATGGTATACCAGAAAAGGACCGTTCTG